AGGAATGCACCCTCACTTGAAGGTGGCGTTACAACCTACAGCATTTTAACTGCATAGATCTGTGTACTCTACAGTCCCTTTACATTTCAAATCACTAGAGATTCCATTTAGATTTTGGCACTTTATATAGAGCACAGACATATCTGCGTCTTTGTTTTATAGGCTCAAGAAGTAGCCTTGGTTTCTCTAAATTATTGCCTCAAAATGTTCCTGTTGCTCAAGCCTCTTAGGAAGTGCCTCTTTGCAGATGACATTTCTTACCAGACCAATGTGTTTTGCACTGTCTGAGCTTCAAACCAACTTAACCTAAGCAAGCTCCATCCAAAAGCTGCACATTTTCATTAGCATAACACTCCAGTCAGATCTGCCACCAAAAGGTTGAGGCCATCTGTCTATATCCAGGGTCTGACTTTAAAGTTAGACATATTGATTTGTAGTCTGTGCACAGTAATTTCATTTGGGGGCAAATTCAAGACTGCGACTAATTCTCATTGGTAACTGGGCCAACCAATAAATCATTGGTTAATGCATCAGAAACCATGTTAAGAACATCTGAAGGACTGGCACTTTGTTAGTGTTGCTACAGCTAATGAAGAAAAAATATATATATAAGAACAAAATTTGTAAGAGTCATAAGAAATCAGTACTATTTCATACACCAATTAATTCTCAACAAAATGTGTGCTGGGACAAACAAGTTCACAAAACATCTTTCATCGTAAGAAGTGTCGTAATTGCAGAATGCTTTTCTCCAGTGTATTTTTATTAGGGATTCCTGCCATCATATCAACATACATAACAAAACACTCAGAATGTTGACAGAAATGTGAAATTCACTGTACAAAGATAAGGCTCGAGTTACAGGTATATTTTTCCTCCAGTCTTCAATGAAATAAAACCATTTTTAATTCTTCCCAGAGTTGTGTTTATAAATATTAGACAAACCACAAAATAGATTTCAAGTACATAACATTTTACAATATAATCCAAGCACAGACAGAAATACACAATACTGTACCTACAGATTTTCCATAATCCAACTCTATCATTCTTACCAATAAAATACAAGATTGCTACTCTGTCTGAATATGCCCAACCATATGTATTTGTGTGTATTATGTGGTCCTGGTGCTTTAAGTTATAGAACTGAACTGTCATGACGTTCAATTAAATTACTTTGATAGACCAGAATATATAATGAAGGATGGGAAGACTTTTAAAAGGCCAGGCCTAAATGTATGCACATGGTTAGTAAAGGCAAGCACATGTGCTCTTGCATTTAACTGCACATAAAAAAAATCTTACTGCACTGCATATTGTCTAAGGTTACCTTCTCATGCAACTCAGCCATTTTCTGATAGAGTTAAATCAAACAAAACAATATTCCTACTTCTGGAGTGCTAGGATTTACAGGGACAAGACTACATTTTAGAACACAGGACCTAACTTTTTTTTTTTTTTAAATAATTATCAGACTTAAATAGGAGCCTGTATGGAACCTTGTCTCTAGTCCAGCAGAATGCCAGCACGCACAGCCTTCACCGCTCAAAACACCATTTCTTACATCTTTGTTTAGAAATGATAGAAGTGAATAATTTCCTGATAAGATCAAAGGTCTACTTTAGTTCACTCTCCATTTCTATTAGGCTGAGTGATTATTACCTAATGGGAAAGGATCGTTTAGCTGCAAGTAGCACAACATGAAATATACATCAAGTAACTAATCAATAATGATTCTTCTGGGGGGGGGAACAGATTGGCAAGGAGAAATAAAGATGAGAAGAAAAAAAAAAGACAATTGTTCAATTTAGCCTTTGTTGGTTGGGAAATGAAGAGCAATCCATAAGTTTTCAATTGAGAAAAGAAACTCCTAAGAGCTGTCAACTGCTTTGTCCTTTAAAAACTGTGGGGAGAAAAGGAAAGGAGGAATCCTGTAAGGAAATTGCCATTTTCAAACTAGACATTTGCAAAGAAGAAGAATTTATGCAGTAGGAATTACAGATGTGGTTACAATATGTTAAATGCAGGTCTAACAACACAGCCTGAAATATGCCTCCAGTTCATAAATCTCCGAGGCAGAAATGAGAGTTCCCTAGCTTAAATAGGAGCTTTGTCTGTGCTAAGGTCAGAGAAAGGAAAGAATAAAATTTTTCTCTTTTTAAATACAACCTCTATGGTACATTTGGGAACCTTCAAATGTTCTCAGCCATGGACAAGATTTTATATAAGTATATCCTCTAAGCAATACTGGACTAACTGTAGATATACAAATCCATGTTACGTGAAACAGCACTAGACCCTGTAACTAGGCTCATAATAATTGGGAAAGAGGATAAGTATGCTGCTACGTGTAAAAGGAAGACCCATCAGTACACACAGAAAATATGTTAAGTCTTAAAAGACTAGTACTAAAGGGCATCAAGGATGAAGATACATCTCAGTGTTTAATCCTTAAACTGTGACTCAGTAGAATACTTTCATGTCAACTGTACAATCTAATGCTTTGTTTTTAAAAGAGGAATATGTTTTTCTTCTCTACCATTTTTAAAAGTAGGCCATTCATCTACTGATTTAGCTAGGGTTTTGGTTTTTTTGCTACTTACTATTATCTTCTTTCCACATTATGTACAGTAATCTACATTTACACCAAAGACTCACTCTCTTCCAAAATGTACTTGGACTATCTTGTAGAGACTTTCTACAGCACTGATTAACGTGTATGACAAACTGACACAGAAGAGGAAAGATCATTACTTTCAGTTCTGCTCAGTTCCCCAAGCTTTACAACTGTACTATTCAGAAATTCTTTTGAGTACTTGGTGTCTTTTCATCTAGGCAGCCCCTACTGAACTTGAGTGAACTTTCTATACATTTCCCAAACTACAGCCCCTCTGTGTATAGCTATATTAAACCCATTCACTCTCCAGTTAGTAGTTTAAAAAAAAATCACTGCTAAAACATTAAAAATACCCTAGTGCCCTTGTACATTATTCTTAACAATCTGTACATTTAAATAACATCAGAAGTTGTCTTTTGCTAAAAATTTACCAAAATATTTTAAACACATAAAACTGTAAAAAAACCCAAACAAACAGAAAGAAAAATCAAAAACCAAAAACCCAGCATAAACATTGCTTGTATAGGCATTGGTTAGAAGAGACTGCTGCACTAAGGAGTATATTCAAAAATATTTTTCTTTCAGTTTCATTAGATTTAGTGTCATGGATTATAAGTTATGAATAATGAACCCTACTGTTATTCCATCTTGTATGATGTAATAGATGAGCAGGAAGTCTGAAATGCAATGAAAGTAAAAGTTCTGTTTTGGTTACTGAAAGGCGACTGTATAAGCCTGTAGCTAAAGCAGCTATTTCAGTATGTAAAGGAAACTTAAGAATGTCTGTAACAAACTGAATATGAAGACAGCTACCTACTGGTGACCCCAGGGGCATTACAAAAAGCTGGCACTAACTGAAATTTTGAATATAGCCCTTAGTTGTATCACATTTATTTAAAATTTAAAAGCTGCCCAGCATGTCATGAATGAAGTTTATTTTGCAAGCCACCCACTGCCTAAGTGGGCAGTAATATTCAATATGAAACTGCTGGAACTCCGGTGTCTGACGGATTTCATAGAGAAAAGAGATTTGAAGGTCCGACTCCAAGAGAACAAGGAGAAGAGGGAACACAAACAACAACAGTCCAAGGCCTACAAGAAGAAGTCTGGAGAAACTCTTCACAAAAGCATTCACCTCTATGTTGCCCATTAGAAAGTCATAGCTCCACTTAAGTGCTCTCCGAGCTTCTTTCAGTTCTTCCTCCTCTGCAATCAAAAATGCATTTTCATCTGCTTCCAGTTCCTCAAATGAATCTGTATCATCTTTCTCATTCTCTGCTCTTGGAGAGGTATCAAAGAGCATGTCAATCTCATCATCAACTGGGGTGGGCAGCAGGCTGGCACTTGGATTGTATACCAGTTCTGAGATGGTTAAAGGTTCCTCTTTCATTTTCTCTTCCTGTTCAATCGCGAGATCAACATTCTGCCCAGTCTCCTTATCTGGGGAGCTGGAAATCACAGGGACCAAGATCTCATCTTCCTTTGGCAACTGGATACCTAAAAAAGAGATGATAAATTCCTGTTTTCCTGGTGACAGAACCCAGCCTTCCAATAGTATTTTATATAGGTTGGAAAGAAGATTCTGAAATCATTTTGAATACTGAAACCTGATGATACACAACTAGCAAAAACTGGAAAAGCCTTTTGAAAGTTCCATCGCCTCCAGAGGAGAGCAACATTTTTTACAGCACTGCAGTACACCAGCACTCCAGATCTGATTAACTGTTTGTCTGATGCAGCTGCCACTAGTAATGGTCTCATACAAAACAGAATAGCTCATTTTCTACTGGCAACCAGACTTCTGATATAAATGAATATCTTCTGCATATGTGAATTGATGCTATTGGGGTGCAGCTCATAATAATAATAAAAAAACCCACCTGCATGAATGAGGAGAAAGTAGTAAGTTGGAAAATTTCAATATAGCATGACATTAAAAAGGAGACAATAGCTTATCATGATAAATTCATGTTAAGGGTAGAGAAGACAAAAGGAGAGGAGGTAATTCCACGTTATGAGGAATAAATACGATTGATTGAAACTGAACAAAAGTGTTTTACCTCTGTAAAAAGCTCCCTCTCCTCACGTCTCATTTTTTTCTTCCTGTCATCTTTCCACTCTTCTTCATATTAGTAGTCTCTTGTCACTCTCTCCTTTAAAAATTTCCCTAACAGACAAATCTTTCTTAGTCTTACTTGTATGCTCCTTTCTTATGTTCCCCCTTTCAGCTCAAACTCTCTCCTCTCAAAACTCACTACCCTTTTTCCAGTCTAGTTCTAGTTACACTAACAGCAGTAAATCTACATTGAACACTGCTACATGAAGACAGCAGTGACTAGAATCCATTTCCTGCTATTAGTTGTCAGTAGCAGGAGTGGAGGGAATGAGGACAACCAGGCAGACAGCTGGGACTTTGAGTGAGACAAAGTGATGGGAAAACAGTTTTAAATGTATTCCCATGTCTAACACTCATTAGCATCATCAGATGCCACCTATGTGCAAAAGGAACAGGCCATACATAGCATCATGAGCTGCAGTAATATATAATAAAATAACACTCAATACTTCTTGTTTTGTGATGTTAAGCATCTCTCCATTCTTCACAAATGACTAATCCAGATGCAACGTGAACATACAGAATAGCAGGTAAAACCAACACAAGTTTACATGACTTGTCCAACAAGTAATCCAGAAAATTCATGTCAAAATAGTATTTATAATTCAAATTAGCCCAATTCTTTGATTCTAGCAACAGATCTCTGTAAAAGATAGAGAACTGTAGTCATTAAAGATTCATTTCGGTTTCAGTGTGGTAACAAAGATTAAGGTTCAGAGGCTTTAAAACAATAGGGTGTAAAACATATTATTACAGAAAAATCAGAAATCAGAAAAGTAGTACTGGTACTACTGTACTGTAAATAGTACTGATCCAGTACTATTTACACTAGACATATCATGGTTTTTCAGTGTGAAGTAAGAAGGTATCAGCAAGTTCTAGTAAAGTTTTAGAGAAAAGGATGACAAATACAAAAAAACCCCATTAAGCTAAATAAAAATCCCATTATGACCTTTTTGAGATGGAGGAAATAAAGTGTGAACTGAGCCACAGCTTTCACTATAATGAAAAGATGCACCACTGCACTGTAAATATAGGATACAGGACAAAATTGAAAAGTAATAATCCTGATCATAAAAACAGACACAATATAGCAAAATATGCAGCTTAGCTTGGATCACAATTCTAAGCTACAATTTTAAATATTAACTCCACTATAATTGACCAAAATGCTCCATAGAATCTCCCTTTGAGATCAGATGCCTTTTCACATTTTTCTTGAAAATGTCACTGTGATTTTTTTGTTAACAGTATTAATCTTAAGCATTGCAGATACCATTCACTGTACTGAAATTATTAGCTTTGCTTCTGAAATCTACCTTCCTTCCATTTGACTAGACAGCAAAAGAATTCTCTTATGCCACTGGTTAATGATCATTCAACTAGCAGCAGGCCATAACTACCTTTCAGAGAAGTCAGTGCTATTCATCTCACTCTAGACTTTCTCAACGTTATGAAAAATTCTGCTTTTCTTGAATGACAAGATCTTACAGTCTCCTCCTATTTTCAATTTTTTTTTTTTTGCTTTTACATTTACCATGACTACCATGCTCAGGACAGGACATATCCATGAAAATCACAGTTCCACAGTAACTGATACCAGATCTGTGCATTACCAGGTCACCCAGCAGCAGACTTGTTCTGGGCCAGACATAGACACATGATCACATTTCTGCTAGAGCCACAGTACATAATGTTTCCACCTTTATGGTTTTATCCATGCTCTATGCCACCTACTGAAGGACTAATTGTAGCAATCCTGCCGATAAAAGGTAACAATCAATACTTTATGAGAGTGGGCTGCAGCACTAGGAATCTTAAAGCTTAAGACACTTCCTCGTGGAAATATCTACCACAGTACCTTGCCATATGCAAAACAATTTGCTTTTCAGAGGTACACCACTTCCTCTTAATTTAATAGGAGTAAAAGGTATGTTGAACCGCTTACTTAGGCACCTCAATATGGATTAAAGGATCTAATTTTAACCTCTCAAATTTGAGAATCCTGGCTATAGGCCTCCCTATACCTGCTTAGATGCAAGGTCAGTAATATATCCATTCTTCATGTTTCTTATCATCCAGAGGACAGCTGTGACTACTCCAAAGAAAGGTCACCTCAAATTATGATTCTGAGGCCTTCTCTCCTTCCCCAGAGTAAATTCCAGTGTGCATAACACACATAGTGACCATAAACAAGAAAGATCACATTAACATTCATTAACATTGTTCTTTTCTCCAAGAGCTGGCAAACTTTTTGACTTTGTGATTAACCTGCAGATAGAAGGCAGCAGAGTAACCTTTTCAGATCAGTGTTTTCTGAAGAGGTTGTATTAAAATTAGAATATGCCGCAGTCCTAAAGCTTACTATCAACTTTATGGACCATTTTTCAGTTTGAACTAATTATTTAGGAGCGTCATAGAGGAAGGCACACATGAAACTAAATCAATTACTACTGCCAATCCATGCTACCCACACTCATTTGCTAATATGGCAGTAAAAAAAATTACATTCTATTCCTTAACATCAAAGCAAGAGTGTTCAAAAAAGGGACAGGATTTTCAACTATTTTACAACATGTGCTGTTAAAGCATATTAAATCAAAGCAACTGTATTTTACACCAGCTTGATACAAGTGTAAATGACAATTGTTCTAATATAAAAATTTGAAAATTTAGAGTAGGCATTAACTAGTACTGTTGCAAGCTGATTTGAAATAAAAAAATAAATATATAAAGCTGTTCTTTTAATTCCTTCATATTCATTATAACACTATAACATTTGTGGAGGCAAGGATTCGGGAAACAATTACATATTAACTGTGGTCAATGTAAGCCCAGTAACACTGCAGTATACAGATACTTATGTTGTATATGTCAGATTTTGACAGTGTCAAAATACATGAATGTAATGTTGTTATGGCACGTATCATTTACAATGCTGAGACTTCTTATGCAGGCATAAGAATATCACATTAAAGTGTAAAAATTCAAAATCATGAGATTTAACCACAATAAATATTCCAATAATACAAGTTTAAATTATCTGAAAAACTGTCTCCTTTGTTACTTTTTGGATATGCTTCAAGAGAGTCAGTTATCTAAAGTAATGAATCCAGGTTTAAAAAAAATCCTCAAAGACTAAGTTCCAATGGAAAGAGAGAACATAGAATCTAAAGCAAGTCTGAAGCCAACACCCTTTAATCAATTCTATGACACTGCTGCAAATCCTTTGTTCTTATTCATACATGAAAATTATTTTGCTGTCATCCTTATAAAGCTACAATTTTATATAAATTTGGGGGTTAGGTTTTGAAAAGCCTACTGTTCCTTTAATAATGGTTAAATTGTATATTTTTTGCTTATTTTTGATGGGAACAAAATTTGATTCTACTATGAAGAGAATGAACTTTTAGAGGGAAGGAGAGGGTAACTGTCTCACATGAACAAAGTGCATAGAGGTCACAAAGGAAACGTAGGAAAGGGAAATAGAACCGAGATCTCCACTAAACTCAAATATTCCCCTACACAGGATCTACATCAAAACAGGGTCTGCATCATGGCCAAACATCCAGCTCTTGGACCCAGGCAGTCATAGATCCCATACTTGCCCACAGTTTATGCTCATAAAATTAACCTATTCTGGCTTTGCAAGGAGAGTAAAGTAATGAGAATTTTTAGTAACTATGTTTTCAGACAGTGATCTGGCTTTCCAGCTTGCAATTCCAGTTTGTTTTACTGTTATTGGGGTTTTTAAAAGGGAGTAAAGCAACATCATAGTTGCCAACTCACATCAGTTGCAAGCACTGCAACTGCAGCATTACAACTGGCCTCCCAACTGCATCATTTGTCACAGTTTTCAACTAACATCAAGACAGTGCAGCTACCAGAGGCTACTGCTCTGCTTTTCATCCCCTGCAAAGCAGACCCAAAGTGCAGAGATAAAAGCAAAACAGAGCACACGGTACAGAAGGCTTTAACCACCCTCTATGCCAGAAGCAACCCATGCCAGTATTGCTGATCCCCTTCCTGAACTAGGATTAAGCAGCAAAAGGGTAAAAAGAGTATCATAGTGGGAGAACGGTACAGCATGGGAATAGGAATGCGAAAGCAAAGTGTGCACATGTCAGCAGAATCAGAGATCAGGGAGGAGCTGATCACAGGACTGGAGCAACGCCGTGCCCAGCAAAGGCCAAAACCAGCGAGGCTGTGAAGGATTGGGCACCAACGTGAAAGCTTAGCACCTGAGGAAGGACAAGTCGGACACTTTCAGCATCCCCACTCAGCTTGTGTCAGCACTTGTGCAAGTCAGTGTTGCTCTGAAACAGTCGCATGCAGAACAGGGTTCTCCCAAAGAGTTACATGCGTCGCCTTCCCCCCCCCC